CTCTAGGCGCTGTAGAATGCGATTGACAACAATGCAATGCTCCCAGATGAAGCGCCGGATTCCTGCATTTTCGGGTATCGTCTCGTAAGAACCGTCTTCGCGCTGATAGCGCGTTCGCACTGATTTGATCGGAACATCATCCACGAATGGCGACGTGAATTCTGGAATTTCGTGTTGCAAGATAAACGCGGTATCGCCTTGGTAAACCTGTACAGCATTAGCATGTCCTTGAGGAAGAGTGGTTAGCCGATGAGGACCCAAAGGCGTTCCAAAGGTCGTCAAGTCGCGCGAATCTACGTGAAGCGCGCGCTGGTCATAACCTGAATATAAGTCCAATACAGCGTACACCGCGTATCCGGCGAACGCTTCCGCGAGAAGTTCAACAAAAGGCGGAAGCGACGCGTCGCGAATTGTTACCGCATTAAGCGGCTGCAAGTCGTGAACTAGGCGCAAGGATTTTCCATCTTTCTTTACTACGCAGAACCAGCGCGAGCGATACGCGGCCGTTGATGGTTCATATACTCCCGATGAGATCTTCTCCTTGATGATGCGCACTACTTCATCTAAGGTGGCTGGCGGGATCGGAATATTGCGCTGAGACCAAGGCGTGTGCGGAACCGTAGGAATCTTGTATGGCGGGAAGTAGGTCTCATTGAGGCGCCCGCGCTCTGAGGCGTCCCATGCGAATGCGAGTTCGTGTACGCGCACGAGCCAGCGCACCAACTTGAGTTCTTCTGGCCATAGCCAATTTGCTGGGTCAAGGTCTAGTTTATCTGCGCGCGCCTGGCGTGAATTCTGGAGGATGGGTGGGTAAGTCGGGTAATCCTGCTAACGGGTCATCTGGTAATTGGCGCACTACCCTATACTCTGCGGGCATAGTGGTAGGTACCGTGCGCACTTTCTTCGCGACTGGTTTATAAACCAGCGCGTGAAGTACGGGATCATAATAATAAAAGGAATTAAAGGCGTCGATAGTCGCCTTATCTATAACGGTCTGCGTGGATGTTAGATGCGCGTAACGCGCTGAATACTGCGGGATAGAAGATGAAGAAAATTGATGCGTAGAGACTAAAGGCGATGCGTTGCTGCTCCTTAAGAGCGAAAAATGGGACGCGCTATCTGCGCGCGCTATGCGCGGCGCGTTAGGCGTGATGCGAGAATGCGAAACTTGATGCGATAAGGAAAATACTTGGGAAGACGAATGCGTATGGGCTTCTCCCCGCGAATGCTGCAGATCATCGATACTTAAAAACCCTGTTCCTCCTCCTTGAGCGCGTGCGAGTGCGCGTGACTCGCGCACTTCGCGTCTCTTGCGAGCTGTCGCTTGACCCAAGGTAGGGTTGGAATGCGCAGTTCTTTGCGCGCGTTAGGATCAGTCAGTATGAGATCCTGCTCTCCGTCGGGCAGATCAAATGTGCGGCACGAGGTAAGCTTAAAGAATGGGCGCCCTAGTAAAACTTCAAAGGTCGCGCGCTCGATGACCTGGACTTGGAAGTATAAGGGTCCTGCGCCAAAATCAAGCGGGACGTTCTCTATGACTCCTAGCGTCGCGTCACGTGACGTGTTTACCGATTCCATATTGAGGCTATGGTCCGACCTGAGCGGTACGCCGAGCTCTTTCCATACTTCCCTTGGCATGACTACTACTTCCGCGCCTTGATCTAAGACGCAGGTGAGAGTGCGCCCTTCCAATGTCTTAGCGCGAATACAGCGCAGGGGCGCGAAGTGATCCGCGACGATTTTACCGTCGTCGCTTCGCATGCGCACATCCTCGTATTGCTTGAGCCATTGGTCGGTTGCGGGGTGCCCTGATAATTCGTGCACAGATACTGCGCCTACTGTGACGCGCTTCTTGGTCGTAAGTTCGCGGAAATGTTGGCGAACGTCGGGAGATACAGCTAATAATTCCCTTACTGGGATATTGAGATTGGAATCGAGAAGGCGCTCGACAACGCGTTTGTCGGCCTCCTTGTCTTCAAGCGCGAATGCATAACGATATGATGATGACTGTGCTGGTGCTTGGGTTGGTGTTGATGACGACGATGGTGGCAATACTGAAGATTGAGATGGGGATGACGACGATGACGATACTGGCGCGGACGATGATGGTGTTGACGATGCGGGCGAGGCGCCCTTAGGAGGCGCCTTGGCGCTTGTTGGCGCGCTTATTGGCGCGCTTAATGGCGCTACTTTCGCTACCTCTTTTCCTTTACCTTTGTCAGACGAAGCCTGTATTTCGGGAGAGATTATCTCCTCCTCTACCGTGGCTTGCTTAGATGCAGGTTTCGGACGCGCGCGCGTTTCGCTGGGTATTTCTACACCATCGAAGCGCACACTTTTACCTTTGGCATTGCGCTTCTGGTCGCGCCTTGCAGCTACATAGGCTATCGCTTCTGTCATGAGATCCACCGTCTCGTCGTCCTCTTCGAGTTCCGTTTGCGCGACTGTGTGCACAAACGCAGATGAGCCTACATCAATTACCGCGTCGATCTCGTCGGATGCGCGATAGAATAGTCCCGCTGTCGTGCCTGTACTAGCGGTCGTATCCGGTGTCGCGCGACTTGCGTGATGTCGATCTAGACGATCCTTGAGTAATCCTCGGCCTGGAATCCAATCGCCATTTGGCAAAACAAGCTTGCGCGTCTCTTCGCTAACCTTACATTTACCCGCGTCAATATACCTTTGTTTCTCTGCGCAACGAGGGTAGTAATGTTCGAGACTGCCGCAAAAGGCGCAGTCATTGAACGTAGGCGCGTCGCGCTTATATTCGCGCTTGGTTACTGTGCCTTGCGCGGGCGATTGCGCTGACGTGGTAGCTGTGACTAGGTTAGTGAATGGCGCTGCCGTAGGCGCGCTAGGCGTCGCGCTTGCTGCAGGCGCATTCGCGGGCAGAACGAAATGTCCAGCTGTAAAGACGTCCATGAACGGGTATGGATCCTGCGGGTAGTGATCAGGAAATTTAATCATTAGGCGCGTGCGTATTAGCGCCTGAGTATCCTTGGGAATCCCTTCCATGAATATGCGATCGCGCTCGGCTTTACCAATGCGATCTTCTGCCAATAGCGGTTGCATGACTTTCTTGAACGCGCGAAGGTAGTTGCTTAACTCCTGGTACGAGGGCATCGTCTTGTTCGCGTATTCGTGCGCGATGGCTTGTAGGTCCGAAAGCGCGTAGCGCCTTTTGCCATCCCATCCGGGATACATTACCTTGACTTCTTTCATGAACACGTTGTAATCGCTTACTTGCGCCTCCGGCATTCCGCCCCATAATTCTCGGTCATCGCGCTCAAGGTAGCGGATGATACCCTTAATGCGATCGAGACCTTGTAGACCTACGTCGTCAGCGAGCTGCTCGTATAGGTCGATAAAGTCGGCGAGGCTGTCGGTTGTGCCATCAAATTTAGGCGCGTCCGTTGTTCCACGGACAGGCATTCTGGTTCTTACTGTGGACATGACGGGCGGTTGGGAAATTGCAGGCTCGGGGATCTTGTGACTGACAAGTGCTTGGCGCGTGTTCGCGAAAGGAAGGTTTGATATAACGGTACCGCCTGGGATTGAAAATGGCGCGCGCGGGGTTTCTAAAGCTTCTTGCTTGATCTTAGGTATTCCCGTTGTAGGAAGCGCGTTCTTGCGCGCAGGAACTACTGGCGCGTTAAGTGGAGTGTCGCTAGAGTCGTCAAGCTCGGTTAGCGCGCTTAGCGCTGACAGGTTAGAAGTATTAAAAGGAGGTTGATTGGGCGTGTGGAGGAATGCTCCGGGAAGTTGGCTCCTTGGGTTATCTATTGCTTCGAAGCCGTCGGATGACTCTTCCTTGACGGATTCTTCAGGCGAGGGCGTGACTGGCGATATCAGTTGTCTAGGCGCGTGCGCGAAGAGCGCTGGATCTGGTCGCGGAGGTTCTGATATATTGCGCGAACGACCGCGCGTGTGTTGAATGAATAAGGGTCCTGGTATAATGGATTCTACCGCTCTGTCGAATGCGGCGATGGCTTCTTCTCTGGCTATGCGGCGACTGTTGGGTCTGAGGCGCCGACCTTCTATCTCAGAAGTGTCCCTCGCGGTGGGCTCCAGTTGTAGATGAGGAATCTTGACTATACGTGAAAACACTTAAAACAAAAGGGGTGCTCAACAGCAAGACCGGGATACGAGACAACGACTCGACCCAAAGGACAACCACTGAGAGAAGTTCCTCGAAATAAAGTGGAGGGAAACTCTGTGAGCTAGGCGGGCGCTAATAGGCGCGAGAAGATAACGCGCGCGAAGGCGCGCGTGCGCGAGGCGAAGGCGCGCGAGATGCGCGCGTGAGCGGGAGGTCCGAGAATGCGCGCGCGCGAAGCGAAGGCGCGCCTAAAGCGTTAGAGGCAAGATCTTACTGAGGAGTGAGTGCAAAGGTGGAGGATTGACAGGAGGATATGATCAGATAACAAGTGGGGAGGTGATCTATTCACTTTCCAGTACACAAAGATAAGGGAAAAGTAAGTACCCGAACTAAAGGAAACCCTTCTGTATTTAAGAATGGAGAAGGCGCGCTTCCGAGCGCGCTCCCGAACCGAGTAACCATATCAACTCTAATTATAACTAAGTTTAAATAAACTTTCCATAAGTAGCGCGGATGTCGGACCGAAGATTTTATTAGTTCAATGGATAAGATAGAAATAACGCACCAGCGAATCAGTAAGGACATGGGACGGATGGACGGACGATAGCGCGAAGACCTATGAGGAGGCGCGCGAACGCGCGCGCGAAGCGCGCATAGCGCGTGCGTAGGTAAGGCGCGCGTAAGTGCGCGCGAGTTCGGATAAGGCGCGCGCAAGTGCGCGCAAGACTGGTCCTTAGGAGTAGAGCTGTAATGTATAGGAATGTATGGTTAAAGGCCGGATATTCGTCATTGAGACGCGCGAGTCTCTACACCGGTTACGGCTATTCTGCACAGCTTCTTCGACTCGACGTTCTATTTGAACTTGAAGAATGTCATACCACTGTACGGCATAGCCCAGGCCTCAACGAAAAGGATCCTGTATAATTTCCCCCTTGCGTAACAAATCAGCCTAGATACATGCCATCACAAATTACTTACTCGGGCATCTGCCATAATGAAACCTCTTCGAGAGTAGTGAGTTTTGAGAGCCGATGCCAAGGCATTGATGGCATCACAAGACCGTTCGAAAAGTGCCCGATAGAATGATAGCAATTCGACGGAGACAGCCATACGAGGCTGTGAGGGAGCAGTCGGAAACAGACCATGGTGAAGCAGCACTTGGGGAAGCATGGAACATCTACAACTGAGGACATCAATAGACGTAAATCCTGAATGTGTGTGTTCATTCATTAACATGGTGTATACTCAAAGATAAGAAGACTTACTGTCGAAAAATAAACACGCAATTGTTGTTCGCTTTTGAGGGCACAAACATGTGGCGCATGCAGAGATGACCTCGGGGGTAATCTCCAGTGCTGTCGCTAGCGTTCGCGCAGAATATTTGAGATGTGGTTCAACAAGGAAGGGTATCAACGTTTTCCAACTGCTATACAATGAGTCTGTGGCCTTGTCAGGTAAAATGCGACGTTTAATATGAGATTCTTGCGCAAGTATGTCGGAAGAAGGTTCTGATGGTATTTCGAAGTCTGGATCAGGAATTTCGGCCAAGGCGTCAGTCTGACTAGTATCAGAGATAGTTTCAACTGCATCTACAGCATGAACTTTGGTCTGTTTGTGCTCTGGTTTCATCAGTTGTTGCATACGAGCTAGCAGTTGACGGTGTTTGGCTTGCGCGCCAGGTAACTCAACGTATGTCTGAGATTTTTTCTTATCTCTTGATTTCTTCGGGCTGACGAAATGGTGGCCTAGTCCAGATGATACACATTGAGCTCCACGAGTAGGAGCGAGAGCACTGGTTGAGACCATGGTGAAAGGGAGAGAGTGAGTGGCAAGGAAGACTCACTAACAACACAAACTTAGTGATAGACACCGTGACGAGGTTTTGATTCCTGTGGCGCGAGGGCCCCAAGAGCATATAGAGGCCAATGCGCCCTGGGAATGCTGGAGGTGCGCAATAACGAATGGAGGATAGGTTTGAGCGGCACGGACGGCACGCGAGCCACACCAGGAGGCGCTGGATGTAATGTATGAGGCACGTTATTAATAGAATGGTGGGAGGGCGCACCTCAGAGGTAAGTTTCCCACAACATAGAAACCCTACCTCAAAGGTCTCTATTGATACCGAGAAGTAATGCCTGAGGTGATAAAACATGGATGACCATGTTCTCGATTGTCGGAGTTTTGAACGTTGGTAGCGCTATTGGAAATATTAGAAAAGGAAACGCAACAAAACGGTAACACCCTGATGAGTGAACGCACACTACGCTAAATCCATCGTGCAATTGATGTATCTTGTATGCCGTACTGTGAGGATAGTGGGGAGTAAATAATCACACTCCCTCCTGTAGTTGTTGGAACTAGACCAAGGTCTCAGCGGACGTGTAAGACAACGCTGAATTGAATTTACCTAGACCAAGGTCTAGGTCGTACGTTAGCAAAGCTGGATACAAAAGAGTAGTGGTATACGTACCTCAGCGGACGTGTAAGACAACGCTGAGGTATCGCTGCGTACGAGCAAGATATTTAAAGGTAAGCAATAGAAGGTTCAAGACGGAGAGAAGCTGCCGAGAAACATATGGTGCTGAAGCTGACAAGATATGATAAGGATCGGAAAAGGAAAAGAAGACAAAAATGGTCCCGGAGGCTAATCCTCCGGGACTGGTACCATGCGTGTGTGTCCGACTCGTATCGTCCAACGCCCAACTCGTACCATCCAATACTCAATTCGTCCGACCCGTATTGTCCAACACACCCCCTCAGCGAGACACCAGATGAAGGCCGGGCAGATGTTTTTCGAAGAGAGGTCGAGGGAGAGCTTTCGTGAAGATATCCGCGGTGTTCCTGTGAGAGGCGACCCATTTGAGTAGGAATGTTCCTTTCTCAATATGTTCCCGGATGAAATGGTATCGCACGTCAATGTGCTTGGAACGGATGTGATTGCGTGCTTCAGTTGATAATGAGATGGCGCCAGTATTGTCCATGAAGATGACGATGGGGAAAGGAAGATGTACGTGAAGCGAGATGATGAGCGACTTGATCCAGAGGCCTTCTTGTATGACGTGCGTGACCGCCATATATTCGGCCTCTGTGGATGAGAGAGCATGAGTCGTCTGTTTCTTTGAGACGTGGGCTATGATGCCCCCGCCATAGTACCATACGTAGCCCGAGATTGACAACCGGTCAGAGGGTGAGCTAGCCCAATCGGCGTCACAGTACGCGTGCAGTTCATCGTTTGCGCCGGCACCCCCATACTGTAGGCGAAGGTTGATAGTACCAGATAGATAGCGAAGTAGTCGTTTCGCAGCTGCATAATGTGCTGGGAGAGGGCTTGAGTTGTGTTGTGCAAGGGAGTTGACGGCGTATGAGATATCTGGACGGGTACAAATGGCGAGATACAATAGTTCACCGACGAGCTTGCGAAAGAGGGTGGGGAGATTGGGGATTGTGTCATGGACGGCGTCTGGTCTGCCGAATGGATGATGTGGGTCAAGAGGGAGACGGACTGGGTTACATTCAAGGAGGTCGTATTCTTCCAGTAGGTAGGTGATATACTCGCTTTGATGCATCCACAGCTGGCGCGTGTTACGGTTTCGTTCGAATTGGATACCGATGAACTTGGTGACTGGTCCCATGTCTTTGATGCCGAAACGCTGATGGATCTTCTGTTTGACCCAGGTTAAGAAAGCCGGCGAATTAGACGTTCCCATCCCGTCGTCGACGTGGAACCCAATAATGCAGAGTATACGGGTGCCGGAGGTGCTGCTGTCAAAAAGGAACACTGCGTAGTCGACGGGACACCGAGTGAAACCCAACTCATCCATCACCTCCCTCACCTGCTCGTACCATTCCATGGCGGACTGCTTCAATCCGTAGATTGTGCGAAGCATCTGCCAGACCTGTACCCTCCAATCTCCATGTTCGAACCCCTTGGGTTGACGCATGTAGATCTCCTCTTTAAGTACTCCCCAGAGGAAAGCGCGTGTGGCGTCGAAGGAGTGAAGTTCCCAGTCATGCTTGCACGCCAGAGCTGCAATGAGTCGTAAGGATGCTGTCTTTAGTACTGGTGCAAAGGTTGCGCCGTAGTCTATGCCTGGAATTTGAGAGAATCCTTGGGCGACAAGACGCGCCTTGTAAATAGACCCGCCCTTATTGTCCTCTTTAAACTCTAAGACCCAACGGTTGCCGATTGCCTTGCGACCTTCTGGGATGGTCGCGATCTTGTAGACGTGCATCTCCTCCATTATTTGTAGCTCCTTTTTCATGGCGGTAAGCCATTCATTATGGTCAGGGCGCAGCATGGCTTCTTCGTACGTCGCGGGAGGGATTGACATGTCGTAGTTGCAGTCGTTGGGATTTCTTCTTCGGTCACTTCGGATGGAGATGTGCGCGTGCTCCTCGATCATCACGTTAGCAAATGCCTCGGGGACGTCTATGTTCGGCTCAATTTCCTCCAAGTTCACCTTCTCATCTGCTTCTTCTCCTTCAGCAACCACCCCCTCGTTCGACGGAACAGGCACTTGAGCGCGGGCGGCGCGAGACTCTCGTAGAGTTTGAAGGTGTTTCTTGGTGGCGTTCATTTCAGCCTCCCAGGCCTGGCCGCCTGCAGTAGATACTTTAGTCCGAGTAGAACGTCGAATGGTAGAGACGATGAGAGGAGATTTGGGAGCTGTGGTGACTTGTGGAGGAGAAGGGACAGTGTGAGGAGCGGAAGAAGGAGTGAGAGGTAGCGCATCATCTGAGTCTGAATCGTCGTCCGAACGGGGCGCAGAAGGCAGGTGTTCATCAAAAATGACGTCGCGTGCGACAAAGAAGGCGCCGGTGACCTGATCACGCAGGCGATAACCTTTGGTACCCTCAGGGTACCCGAGGAAGATAGCCGGTCGGGAGTGCGGGCCGAGTTTGACCTGGAGTTCAGCAGGTATTCTAGCGAAGCAACGAGACCCGAATACCCGGATATGTGAAAGGTCAGGCTTCCTGCCATTTACCAGCTCGAAGGGTGTGACATTGAGTGGGAGAGCGCGTGAGGTACTCCTGTTCCATAGGTAACAGACTGTTAATGCGGCTTCGCCCCAGAGATTGGCAGGCAACTTGGCGGCCTCTAACATCGCGAAAAGACGCCCTCCTATAGTCCGAATCGCACGCTCAGCTTTTCCATTTTGTTGATGTGCGTATGGCACGGAGAGTTGACGCTCTATCCCGGCATCCTGAAGAGCCTTAGAGAATGCACTACTCACAAATTCCCCCCCATTGTCAGACCGAAAGGCTTTAACCGCTCGCCCAGAGTGATTCTCCCAGCATTTCCTGATAATCTCCCAGGCATCCAAAGCTTGGTCCTTCGTAGCGAGGAGTTGCAGGTTAAGCAAATTGGTGTGATCATCTAGAAATATGATGAAATGGAGTTTACCATGGGGCGTCGTGACAGGAAAGGGACCGCAAAGATCGGAATGAATAAGGTCGAGCATATGAGCTGTGCGAGGGCTGTCAGAAGAAGGAAATGGCTTTCGTGGGTGTTTGGCGATGACACACGATTCACATTGCTGAAGGGGAACCGTGGACTCTATGGTAATGCCGGTGGCCGCACGAGAGAGGTGTTTGATCATGTCACCCCCTGGGTGACCCAAACGGGCGTGCCATAAGTCGAGCGACAAGGGAACACGAGCGAATGCTGAGATCTCACGAGGTGCGTGATGAGGTGAAGGTGCGGGACTATTGGGACGAATGAATTTAAGATCAATGAAGAATAGGTTCCCTATCATTGGAACTTCTCCCAGAACTTCGCCGTGATACTTAAGTTGACACCGAGCCGGCGAATGTTCGAAGTTACAAGACCACTTCTTCTTGAGCATGTGACCGATGGAGAGCAAGTTGATCATCGCCCCGGGAGCATGAAGACAATCAGTGAATGTGATGCGGAAGGTCTTCCCACCCAGTGACATTTCTGCAATGCAATCGCCGCGTCCCAAAGTGGGCAAACTGCCATGGTTGGCGATTTTGACCGTCACGCGTGAACTCTCCGTATAAGTCCAGAAGAAACTGCGATCTGCAATGAGGTTCGACGTCGTTCCTGAGTCTAATATGGTGGATAGGGAGCTGCGCACTATGCAGGCCATGTCCTCAAAGCTGGGGTAAGACTCAGAAGGAAGTTCCTCAATGACGGCACAGCTGAGGTTGCGAGGCTCATCAGTGCTCGAGGAGGACGTAGTAGGCGAAGTGGATGTAGGATCTGTGCTACTGGTGGTCGCAGCAGCGACCTCCGGTTTCTTTGCCGGTCTCTTGTCGCGAGCCCTTGTGAGAAAGTTGCCTCCCTGCCCTTCCATTCCCCCGCCTGGCTGAAAGCAATGTTCACGGTCATGTGTTAAGGACCGTGGCAGCCCAGAACATGCCGGGTTGTCGCAGCTGACGCCCTTGGGATTCGACTTATGGATTCGGATGCCTGTCTTAGAATTTGCCTTCCCATCAGGAGGTCGAGAGAACGACATAGCGTTAGCATACTCTGATCCTGGTCCGGCGAGCTTCTGCTCTCCTCGGAGGCGATTGGCCTCCTCGGAGAGTGAAGAGACGATTGCCGCGAAGGTCATCTTGGTGACTGTGGTCGTGGTGGAAGAAGAAGATGCAGTGGGGACGGATGATGAGCTATAAAGGTTCATTGTCATGCGTTTAAATATAATCCACTCGGGAGTGGGAGGGAGACCGTGCAGCAATAGGAATACCATCTCATCTTCTGTGACTATGACTCCCATCTCAGCAAAGCGACGTCTTGCGTTCTCGAATGTACTGATGTAACGAGACGTGTCGTCGACGTCTTT